GTTCCTCCCATGCTCTTCTGGGGAGCTAAGAAAATGTTTATCTCCCTGAGCCTGGCCTTCATAATTCCATTCCATCACATCTAAGGAAAAATAAAATATTATCAACAGATATCTTTCAACCTTTAATATTTGTTTGTAGTTTGCTCTAAAAGTACAATAAATAAAAAGTACAATAAATACTAGCACTTGGTATTTACATTTGCATCTGTCTCTAATATGATCGGGCAACCCCCCCCCCCCTTAATTAAAGTGTTGTATGTTGTAAAAATCTCGCTGCAGCTCTAATTTATCCCATGAACAATGATTGGAAAAAGCTGAAGAACCAGTTTTATTATACTGAATTAATGCTGTAGCTCTGTGCTGCAAAATACACATTATTGGTGAAATAACTGAACTTCAGTAATAGGATAACGCTTTGGCAATAAATAAACTTTAGCTTTGGCACTGATACCATCTTCCTGAAATCGAGATTGACTATTAAGAAACACTCAGCCACATGTGCATCAGTTCTCTTAAGTGCTGGAAAATTGGTTCTTAAAACTTTGGATAGCTTCTATCTTTCTCCTTAAGGAAGAGAGTGGAGATTTTGAAAATGCATTAGATGAACATTAAAATGAAAGAGCCATCTCATTATTAGGGCACAGGACCAGATCACATGTTTCTTGCACTTTAAATGAGATGCAGTTCAGTGCATGATCTTTTTTAATTAAGTTTGAAAACATTAGATTAAGAATATTGGGCTAAGCAGAAATGAAGACCAGATTGGTCATTTAAATAGCTATGTAGAATGGGTCATTTGGTAACAAGCCATATATGACTGGATTTCTTTTCCTTCCTCCACAACTTTCAAACCTGTATCAAAGTTCTGCCCTGCTTTGCATTTGATTCTTAGAATTGAAATTATGTTTAAAAAGAAGCAGCAACATCTGAATTCTAATCTTTATTCTTGCTGTATGAAAAAAGCAAATTTCTCATTTTAAAAATAGGAATTATTTATCCACCTTTCATTTTTGCTGACAAGTCGAAGAAGCAATAGAAACATTTGATTTTAGTTCTGATTGTTGTCTTATGACTAGAGAAGCAGATGTTTTTCCTGATTCTTTGTTTCACCAATATTGTTCTGTAGTAACATCATTTGGTGATGTACCTGCTCTTGAGGTGTGGTTAGAATTGTGACTAGGGGTAGGGAAAACTATATTCTGGTTAGAATATTTCTCCAGTTAATCCAGCATGGCTTTGCTCCACTTATGCCCTTCAGATGTGTTGGAGATGAACTTCCATAAACTTGAGCCAGATATGCTGGGTTTTATGAAGTCAGTGCATTTCAGGTTCTTGGACTGGGGAAGACTGAGGGACTTACTGTAGATGATTCTTCATAAGAAAATAGGAGCACTAATAATAGTCTTTTAGCTCAGCATTCAGTGGTACTCTGCAGCCTACCAGCTAGATTTGAAATATGCAGAAGCAGGGACAGCAGAGAACCTAAATAGTAGTTGCAGAAAATAGGATTAAACCTACCTACCTCTTTTCTTAGGATGTCATGTATATACCTCCAAAGTGTTTAAAAAGAAAAGAAAGGAAGAAATAGAGCAGCTAACTCCGCTGTTAAAGTAATGTGTTATCTGACCTTGAGTAATTCCTGCTAATTCTGTGCTATGATTGGAATAGTCTTGGAGTTTCTCCAGCACCATGCCTGGAAATTCCTTCAACCTCTTCCTACGTAACTAGGATGGGCTGCAGAGTTGTGTGCAACACTGGAGGTATATATTCATTAGCAGATTTGTGGCAATGGAGATACATAACCATACAATCCATCCTGATCATTTGCATAGATAGTTTCATGGTGAAAGTAGTGTGGGAACCATTTTGAGAGAATGGCATCCATGCACATAAAGATAAAACAAAAGCAGGTTCTAATTCCTGTTAAGTTCTGTTATTTTTTATAGCAATCCTAAAATGGAAATCTCATCTCTTATATATCTCTTATGATATATCTCTTATTATGCTCCTATTATTGCAGGACAAGGAAGAGGTGTCACTCTGTGTCATACTCTGTAAATAAGCTTCTGGTGAGATTAGAACATTAAAACCAACCATTTGATTTGATCCAGTGTGTGTATTTGCCTCTTACCTGCATTTTTTAAAAAAACAGTTAACTGTCCACATTTATTAATGAAGTTGTATTTTCCCTTTGTTTTGGAATGGTTCTAGGAATCCCATGGAAGCTGCATGTATGGATCGAGTCACTCCGAACAACTTTTTATCAGTCTCGTTACTCAGTGGTACAGAATCTCTTACGGGAATTTGTCACCATTAAAGAAGAAGAATACAACGAAGAGTTAGTGAATGATGGACTGAAGCTAATGTTTGAAATCCTCCGAACCAGCAAAGTAAGCCATTCTAAAACTACAAGCATCAGTTCAACTCCCTATCCACCTTCGGAACATCATTCTTGATGCAGAAATCTGGAGATCATAAATACCAAAATGATTTTGGTAATCTTTGGCCTGGGCAAGATATGCCAATAATGCACTATATGAAAAAAAGCATCTCCTGGCACTGGATTACTAGGGTAGATCCCAAAGGTACCAATTGCCAGAAGTCACTTACTCTTATTGCTTGTTAGGTTGCCTACACTTCCTATTTATTTTTTTAGCATCCACACAACAATTGGATTCATTAACTTTCTTCTTCTGAGGCTGAAAGCACTCAGAGATAGAAATCCATTAGATGTCCCCCTCTTCCTTGATCAACCTTCAAAGCTGATTAGTTCTGACACTGAAAAGATAGTTCAGGCAGAAATGTGGAAGGAGGATTCAAAGGGCTGAACTGTCTCACAGACCCTAACCACAACCATAAAATTAAGCCAGGTAGAGTAAACACACTATCTGGATTAAGCTTTCCTGAATGTGTATACAGTAATCTCACTGGGTCCTTATTCTGGAGAAAATAAGAACAAAAAAGACAGCTGCAGACTTTTATGTTCCTGGCCAACAAATTGGTATGTTTGGCCTCATTAGTTGTTCTTCTAGAAAATGGGTGAGAAAGCAGAGAACTGGTTTTAAAAATAGGTTGTGTTTTGAAACTCAAAGCTCACCTTTGCTTTATACTTAAGTTCTTGGCATATTCCCTTCCTTTTAGCCTCACCAGTCTACCTTTTGGGAAACAGCTGTTTCAGGAAAGGATAGGGCCTTCCCATCTTAGCCATTTTGACAAGTTACTTACAGTGAGCTCTCAAAATTCTGGCCTAACCAAAAAGAGTTAAGCTGTTGGAAAACCACAATTAGTTCTAGATGTTTCACTCACCCTAGTTATATTTATTTATGCTTGTTTACTGGTAACACTGACAGGGACCAGAAGGAAAAGCTCTCATAGAAGTCTCTTTTGTAGCAGAAGCCTTCATTCTAATAATAACTTAGATCATCTGTAGTGAGCGGATATTCAATAAAGGCTTTCATTCATAAATTCACACACACCCATGTTAAAAATATTTTTAACTCTCCCTTTCTGTCATGCAATTTACAATTTAGTGCATTCCATTTATAAAAAAAAAATCTCAATACTCCATACTCAACACTGCCAATACTTTCACAAAAGTAAATATGGTTTTGTTGGTCTCTAGCTCAGTCATGCTCTAGTATTAGCAATTATTTCTTTGCAGAGATTGGAATGTGACAAAAGTGGCAAATGCTTCAGAAAATCTAGCTCAGTTAACTTTGTATTTCATAGTCATAAGAGATTCTCAGCAGTGTGTGTGTGTGTATTCTCCCCTTTGTGTATTGCATTCATTGTTAGCAAAGAAATTAATTCCAATCTTTTGCTTTCCTCTGTGTACTATAGCAGAATAATGTGTTTTTTTAACTATTCACAGAATGACGCAATCAACCAGCATCTTGCAGCTATCTTTACTCACTGCTATGGAAGCAGCCCCATTCCCAGTATTCCTGAACTCAGAAAGACACTGCCAGCCCGTCTAGGTAACGTGGCTAACCTTCAATTGGCAATTATTGTGTGGATATTGGTTTTTTATTGTGCTTTTCTATAATGAAACATAATTAAACTTTCTTTTTTTCTTTCTCCTATTCAGATCCTCACTTTCTAAATAACAAAGATATGTCTGATGTGACATTTCAAGTGGAAGGAAAACTGTTTTATGCACATAAAGTTCTCTTGGTTACTGCTTCAAATAGGTGAGTTTCTCCCTCAACTATTGGTACTTGGAGGATTGACTGAATCACACAAACAGCAAGGAAAGGATCGCCAAGTTGCAGCACATGGATGAGGCCTGACCCCATACCAACAAATAACCTCACTGAGAAGTTGCTTGCAGATGTTAAATAGGAGCAAAAAGGAAGTAGAGTTCTGAGAAACCCTGCAAAGTAGGACCCTTGGGCTAGATCTCTCTCCTCACTAAAACTGACTGGAACAGGCTATGGAGGGAGGAGGAAAACCGTCTCAATGCCATGTCCCCCCCTCTAAACCCACAAAGCCAGCCTAGAAGGATACCACAACCAATGATACCAGAAACCACTGAGAGATCAAGGAAGGCTAGGATAAATGCACTACCCCCGCTCCAGTCCTTCCAAAGGTTGTCTACAAGTACAACTAATAAATACAGCGATCACAATCCAGGCTCAAATTCCAAATAGCAGAGGCAGTAGAGGATTATGCTTAGAACCAGGTCAGTCAACTGACAATAGTAAGAGTGAGTCCACATCATGGGAACCGTTCCTGTGTGGCTGGAGAAGAGATTTACCATGCTTACAAACCCAGAATGGATAAGAAGGAACTTCTGCCACTGCTTCCAGGCAGAAACATGGAAGACTAGAGGTGACTGCCATATGTTAATTTAAAAGTTTGCTTTTTTCAACTGGAAATAATACTATACTATATTTGGTTGACTTTAAGAGTTCTCTGTTACCACTATTTATATTACTGTATCAATGTCCATGGAGTTAGAAGCCTGTTGCGTTCTGGAGCTAGGCAAGAAGTAGTAGAATACTTTGTAGTTTCTTTTGACATCTCTGAGAGATATTTTAAAGATAAACTTTGCTATATCCATTTTGACTAAGGTCCACACTAAATGTTCTTCCTCTCATGGAAATGCTCAGATCTACCTACATATATTCAGTTATTACTGGAAGTACTCCAGCAACTGAAATTTGAGAATGTGAACAAAATATTGGCCAAGTCTAAGTGACCTCCCACATGCTTCATCTTGCCCCTCTTGGCTTATTAAGTCTAATAGGGGAAATTCATCTCCCTCCTGGGCTTTGTAAATTCCTCCTTGAGAAAAAGAGATACTGTCTCTTTGAAATGTGAAGTCATCCAGTCACTCCTAAAGAAACCTACCCAGCACAGAAGATGTGATATTATAAGCCAAATTCCTGCAGATTTCTCCATGACAGTGTGAGTGAGATTGCTGATCAGTATCCTATGGACGAAACGGATTTCATTTTATTTGCACTTTAGGTCTGGGTTTATGTTAGATAGTGCTTTGGTCAACAGCAAGGAGATGAATCTTGCTGAAAGAAGTGGGGGATAATATGTGATTGGCTACTTTCTGTGACTCTTATTACCTTGGACTGTGGTTCCTTTAAGATTAGGGTAATGCTAATGCTGGTAGATGATTGTGGTTGTGCTATGGAATTTCCTAGGATTCTGCTTTATCAATCCTTCATGCTGTTCCCCATTTCAAATAAACCAAGAGATACTATTTGGCTATGGGGACTGAAGTCAAATCAACTTGCCAATTGGCACCTAGCCCTACCTCACCCTTTATTTCATACCGATGTAGGCAGGGGCTGCTTGAATGAGATGATATGTAGGATGAGGACCAATAAACTGAGATTTGATCCTGATCAAACTAAGATATTATTAGAATATTGTTGTTCATGTTCCATCAAGCTACAGTATTTCAGCCTGGTTTGAAGAGGGCTACACTCCTATTAAATATCAGGTTCATAATTTGGTGCCCTCTTTGATCCACCACTATTGCTAGAGGCACAAATGACTTTGGTGTCCTTTTACTAAACTTAGACCTTTTTATAGTTATCCCATCTCAGCTAACCTGTTTGGATTGCAGCCAATAACTGCAAGCTTCAGTTGCACCATTATGAGACATCAAAAATGTGAACATTTAGGGATTATGGCATGGTATAATCCAAAATTTAAGCAAGGTTAGATCAGTTTGTTCTGGTGTGTTTAGAATTTCACTCTTGGGGTAGTAACACAAAACAGCTTTACAGTAGCACAATACATATATTGGGGGGGGGGTGGAATTACAGTGTTGTTTTATTGTAGTTAATCACAAACCCATGTGATTTGTGCCTAGTGCTGGGAAATCATATAGTCATACTCTCTGCTTTCTGTTCCTCAACCTAGTTTCAAATTAAATCAGAACTGGATTCCTGCAACTTCTTTCTTATGCTTGAAGCTAGCAAAGACTGCTTTTCAATGTGAGGTAGTCAGAATCAGACAGGATTCTCCAGTAAGTTAAAAGAGTACCTGCTGGGTTTTTTTGCTTGCCATGAAGCTTCTGCTAGGACGGCTGATGATCCTGAAAATTCAAAGAATGGAGTGGGGCGGGGTGGGTGGGTGGGAAGGCATTTTTACTTTATCAGCTAAAATGTAATCCAAGCAAATAAACTTTTAAAAGCTCCTGTGAAAACCTCTGCTTGTTTTCACAGATTTAAGATGCTGATGACCAATAAAACAGGACAAGACAGCCAAGGCAGTAAGACTGTGGAAATTAGTGATATGAGATATAATATCTTCAAGGTAGGTTTCAAAGAATAGTTCACATTTTATCCTTTCCATTGTCCGTGTGGAACTGTGGTTTTGAAAGCATTTATCTTCTGATACTTAGCAGATTTGCACTATAAGAAAGCAATTATTAACTCTGAATGAAGAAGGCGGTTTATGCTTATATCTGTGGTATGGGGCCAAAACAACAACAACAAAAACCTTGCCATTTTTTTCCCCTCAGATAGACCAGATCCACACAAAGTTCATTTTTTTCCATTCTATGTGTCATGAGATGCAAGCCCATACTGAAGAATAGTCAACTTATTTAGCAAAAGTATATTCCATGGATAGTAACCAAGGCTTTCCAGGCATAATTTTCATGCTCTGTTAAACAAATTAAATAGGAATAGAGCAAGGAATCTTGCTGGCTTTGTATTAAATCCATTTAAGCAATTTAAGGCTTATGAGGCTCTCTTGTAAAAAAAACCAAAACTTGATGTGGAATATTTTTAAATATATAAATAACCCAGGATGTGGGGTGTTGTCAAAAGGCAATAAAGAAAATAAAGCTGACTTCAACATGGAAAGAAAAAAATAGATCAGTGAAATCCAATACTCAGCAGCATATTCTGCTCTCTAGATCCATTTTTACAGACCAGGCTGAAAATATGTAAAAGCTAGAAAACTGGAAACCTAGAAATGATCGTATTTAGAACCATACTTTAGAACATAGAAAGTTGGTTTGCGTTCTATTTCCTCAGCCCTCAATCAAATATTTTTTGGCATTTGGGCCACATCGCTGCGGTTATGTTGCAATGAACTGGCTGAAGACAGAAGTGCTTTAGGATTGTGCTGACCAGGGTTTGCTCGGTTTGCACCAGCCTTTTCAAGCCAGATCTGTCCACCATTAGGGCTCATCTTTAAAGAGTTGATGTGAAGATTAATGCTGCATGTTGCACTTGCTTTCCTTTCAACAGTGGAAGGTTTCTATATGAGGGGCGAAACTGGTGGAACTACAGACTTCCTAATGCTTTCTCTTTCTTCTTCTCTCAGATGCTGATGCAGTATTTATATTATGGAGGAACGGAAGCAATGGAAATTCCCATAGCTGATATCCTAGAGGTGAACATGTGCCTGTGACTAATGTATCTTCACTATAGAACTGGTCCTGATTGCAGGAACACTAGTCTACATCATGCAGCAAATGAATTCTACAGTGAAAACTGTTCATCCAATCTGTTTTCAAACCAGAACAGCAGAAAAATGGCCTTGACTGATGGAAAAGTGATTAAAATACTCTAGGCTGATTTTCAGAAATGTAGATTGAATAAACAACAGAGAATCTCTCTGAGCAGAAAGGCAGGATATATATTGATATGTGAATGAATACAGCTCCTAGTCTACTTCAGCTTTCCCCAATTTGCTGTTCTCCAAAAATTGTTATCTCAAGCCAGGTATTCATTACTGTGAGTAATGGAGATGTTGACTTGTTTGGAGGTACAGCCTGCAATGTTGAACTGTGTGGGGGACAGTAAAAAAGAAGAAAGTAGTAGTAATAGTCAAGAAAAAAAAAGCAATGATCAGACCTCTAGCTGGAAACTTTGAAATTAATGGGAGGACTCTTTCAGTATTGTAAAACATGAAGAGCAAAGCAGAGGGGATTAAAGATAAACACCAAGGCTACAAATAATGATGACAGATATTAGGAATAATCAAGTAGAAATAACCTTGAGAGAAAAGATAGGAAATTTGGTCTTGGCCATGTTGAGATTGAAACAAGGATGAGACTTCTGAGTCAGACACATAAATGTAGATGGGAGGCCTTGGGACATGTGGTTGAACAACATAGTTACAGCTTGAAGAGTTTAGTTACACTGCAGAGTTTCATGTATATGCAAAGTACAGCCTTCATACCATTGCAGTACATTACAAGTATCTATGGAGATTACTAGTTGTAGTGGGAAATTTTCTCTGCTCATAGGAAGATTGGAATTGTTCCACACAGTATCAAGAAAGAAGTGCCTGGAATATTGATAGTAGCCAGACTGAGGTTTGTTTGTTTTTTTAATAACTTGCAGCACCTAGCTAGCCTTTGCTGATCTTGAAAAATTATGGACTATAATAGAAACTATGCAGGTTCTTACATGGAAGACCATCCAAAAATCATAGGATTAGGGCTGCACCAGACAGTTGAAAAAATATCCCAGAAGGCAGCAATGACAAACCCCATCCACATTGTTGTAAAACACACACACACACATGGACATATCTAGGACTTGATGTTGCTCTGAAGAAGACTATGTTATCGTATAAAAGCTTCCCATCCCAGTGTAAAAAGGTCTGCCTCTCTCACTCACACACACACGTCAGATCTCAGGACATGCTGAGTTATGAATGCTGTGGCTTAAAGTTAAGGAAGATAAATGATTATATAAGCCAGCTCAGTCTTACTAGGAAAAAAAAGTTCATTAAATTAAAAGATTTTTGCTTAGTTTTATATACCTTTATTATTCTGTCACTCATGACTGCCTTTAAACAGAGACTTCAGACAGAGGCATTATTAGTGGATATTTTATCCCTCAGTTAAGCATTCAGATTATTCTGAAAAAAGTGCGCAGTTTGGGGGGACTGCTTAATCCAGCATTGTCACTGGTGGGTCTTTGGGACTCAGATGCCTTTTCACAATTGAACTGATAAATCAGGACAAAAGATATTGTGCAAAAGACAGCTTTTGAAATAGTCCCCAGAATTTATAGGGCTGCAAGATTCCTCTTCCCTTGTATTCCAACCTGAAAGCTGACGTCCTTTTGAAATGCCCCTCTCAAGTGAGATCAGGATAAACAAGACAGTGAGGCCTATCTTTGGTTCCTGACAAAGACTTAGTTTTAAAAGTCCATTTATTATTTTTTCTAATGAACTCTGATATTTTTCCTTTTTAAAGTGTGTTATATTTTAATGATTTTTTTTGCACGTCACCCAGAGGACTTCAGTTCGGGGGTGACATAGAGATACTGCGAATAAATAGAATGAGTAGAATGTTAAAATAATGCCTTCTCTCATCCCTGCTAGTTGCTCTCAGCTGCAAGTTTATTCCAGTTGGATGGCCTCCAGCGCCACTGCGAGATACTGTGTGCTCAGACCATCAATACTGAAAGCTGTGTTCACATCTATAAATATGCCAAGGTAAAGATGAAGTTCTTGTCAACTTCCATATGTAAGAGAAAGAGGAATTAGAAGAACCTCTTTAAATGAATCGGAAGCAAAAAACCACTAAAAGAGGTCCTATAGAAGAGCAGCATTAGAAAAGATTCCCCTATCTGTATGTGTAGCCAAGTATTGTGAAATAATAAACAATCCAGTGGGTGCCAGTTGAATATGAAGAACCCAGGCCTGGGAACCACCTCTCCCACTTGTGTCTATTCAGTAATTCCTTTTCTTCCTAAGACCTATCTTATATGCCTAGAATTTGTTTGTCTGCTAATACTGTGTACCCTCTGAAACTCACTCATTACTCTACCAGGGTAACTAACCCTAACCCTGTTTGGTTAGGTGAGGATGCAACTAAACAGGTATAGGTAGTGCTCGTTTAATGACCACAATTGGGACTGGCAACTTGGCTGTTAAGTGAAACCACGACCGTGCTTACAGTCTTACTTCAGCTTTCGTTTGCTTTACAGGCTTGCAAAGGTCATAAATGTGAGGATTGGTCGTAAAATTACTTTTTCATCACTATTGCAACTGTGAATGGTTGCTAAATGAGGCAGTTGCTAAACAAGGAATATCAGTATCAACCTGCAGTTTCAACCTGGTCAAGCTGCTCATTCCCTTTAACAGTTCCTCTACTTTGGTTTAACAAGCAGCAGGGGAACAGAAGAGGGTTAGAAAGAGGGGGCATTTTAACCACTTTAAAATATCCCCATGGAATAGTCACATAATTTGTGTGTGCATGCACACAGGCACGCACGCACACACACACACACACAATAGAAGGCACTCTAACCACAGGATTAAGATGCTCTCAGGCATTTGCCATCAGGATGAAGCTGTCTTTGGAGGAAGGGAGCGGAGGTGGGAAAAAGGGGATAATTGACAGCTGCCTAAAATATACTTATTACAGCATCCCTTTGTTTTTTTCAGATCCATAATGCCCCAGAGCTGGCCTCTTTTTGCGAAGGCTTTTTTCTCAAGCATATGAATTCCCTGGTGCAGCAGGAATCGTTCAGGCAGCTCATCTACGGCAGGAACAGTAGGGTTCAGGGTCTGGATCCCCTCCAGGATTTGCAGTCCACTTTGGCCAGCAGACTTCAATCCATTTATGTAACATCAAGAGTGTGATTGCTAAGAACTGCAGCCCTCCAGTTAAGGAAAGCACCTGCTCATCAATCTGCACTGAAATGGGATCTGGCCCCACTGGGGCTGCTTCATCCAGTTCCTGGAGACAGTACCTCTTCCGCCATCTCAGCAAGCCTACCCAAATGCAAGGAAATAACTCTGGGAAGTATTAACATGTCACAACTATTTTACCTGAACACTGATGAGCAGAATCTGAGGTGGGATGCTGCTATTCTGCTAGGTACACCATCACTAAGGAGAACTCAGGGGGAATTACACTTCTAAGTGTCCAAAAGACCTCTTAGGACAATGCCCAAACCATGTTTGGCATTTAGCCAATAACCAGAGGACAGGCTGTGAATGTAGAAATCCTAATTTCTCTAGACTTTGGCTACTCCAAATGTTGATTCCACCAGAATGCAAACAAATCTGGCTTTTGCCTTGTTTGTCTACCAAGACATGCAAATTCAGTAAAGAGCTAAGCTAAGCCGAATAAAGCTAGTTTTGAAGCTACATCACGATAACGTGCTACCCAGCAGATTCTACATTATTTTAGCATCAATTTTTAACCAGCTCTGGCTGTCCGTTTTTGTATTTAAAAACAATCTAAAGAAAATGCAACCTTGTATCGTTAATACTTAGTTACCAACATCCTTGTGCAAATTTTTATTGCTAAGACCATCACACTGTGGTACCTACAATATTGGTGTAGCAGATAGAATTTCTCTCAATATTTCTGCAATATAGTTGTAAATAAAGGGCTGGGGCTTGCTTTGTCAATGCTGTATTTTAGCAATAATTCCCTGAAATGCCTGATCTGGTGCTTATGATCTGGACCGCCGTCCATCTGGGAATTATGTGCATGAAGCACAGAAGTATGAATAGTCAATTCCAGCTAAAGGGATCTCTGTATAGAAATATTGTATGTATATTTGTGCATATCATTTTTTGGACTGGAAGTTGCAAGCAATAATCAAGGCCCATTGAGACTGCAGATGCAGTCTGAATTGTATTCTTTCAAATGAGAGCCGCATTCCGATGCACATTCAAATACACATTCTCTGCTACTCTTGCACCATGAGTTGTAATGTGATAGCATGCGGACTCACTAAACTGGATTTCAGCTAGGGATTGTGAATCAGGGCTGATCTGGTTCAAATGTGAAAATTGAGTTGGTGTAAGTAATTGAACACAGGCTTTGGCATATGTAATCTCATGATTTGATTCAGAAAGGCAATATGACTGGGAAATTCAAATTACTTTCATATCCATCCACATACACTTCAGTCTGCATTGAAATTAGGTGATGACATGAGAAATATCTAAAATAGGAACACACTTCCCCCCCCCTTTCCAATACTCAGCATTTTGCTTCCATCTTTGAATGGACTAGAAAATAATAATTTAGAATATACAGTAGTGTTAAAAATCAGGTATTAACAAAGTGATCACAATTACCATTTAAGGAAACATGTATAAATAAAATACTCTTTTTTGAAGGATAGATTGTCAATCTAATAAAGGGGGAAAGGAGTAAAGACAAATGGGAAAGGAGCTAGACGTGTGCTACAAGAATTTTTTTGGTGTTCCAGGGAAGGTAATGGAAGAATAATGGAAATCATGCAAATATACAGATATTTCAGAAGCAAGAGAGGCTTTTCCCATAATTATCTATTTGGGAGTTTAACGTCCTCACTATAGAACCTTCATTTTTAACAGATCATTAGAGAAAAGCATTCCTTACAAAATGAACCATGTTTGGAAATAATTAAATGGTTATTACATTTGGTTTAAGGATATAGTTTGGAGCAGTTCAACAAGACAAGCCATAATTATGGCTGAGCAGGGAGGTTGGGTGGACTAACTTGGGGAAAATTATTTTTCTCAGGTATCTTGCTCCTTTATCAGTTTTCACTAGTGACAACCTGTGCCTAAAGAGTTTTGTACCTTTGCATACGGCATCTGAGTCACATCGTATAAAAACAATACCAAGCTAAAATAAATGTTTATAAATGGGTCAAGAATGAAGTAGGATGGGTTGGGAGGAATCAAAGTATGAGAACCTACACATTTCAACTCATGCTTGCAGAGTAGCCCTACATATTAGAAAATGATCGCCTATAAACCTTTCAGTCATTCATTTTTCAAATTTGGATCAGCAAAACAAATACAAACTCTTCACATTCTTCAGATCACAGAAAAGTGTAAGATTTGTTAAGTGGTTAGGAAATACGCAAAAGTTTGTCATTTTGGAAAATAATTTTCAAATAGCTGGTCTAGCTATCTGTATAAAAATATATAGGTTCTGTTGTGCTGTGATATTGTCTGCAATATCTGTACATTAATGTTGTCATTTATGTAAATGTCCCATATTTTATTAACATGACTTCGTTAAACTTTGCAGATGGTGTAAAGCTTAGTAATTTAACACCAAAAAAACAGTCTATACAAGTACTGTCTTTTGTTTTCCAAGTCCTGTGCTTAAGATGGATTGGAAGGAATATAGGCAAACATATTGCCTTTAAAAGAGAGCTAGTTTGATGTACTGGTTAAGGCACCAGGCTAGAAACTGGGAGACTGAGAGTTCTAGTCCTGCCTTAGGCATGAAGCCAGCTGGGGGACCGTGGGCCAGTCACCCTCTCTAGGAAGAAGGCAAGGGCAAACCACTTCCCAAAAACCTTGCTAAGAAAACTTCAGGGCCTAGTCCAGGCAGTCACCTGGGGTCAAAAACTCACTCAAAGGCACGCACGTGCACACATACACACACAAATGCCTTTAAACACGTTCTTGTGAAACTAGAGAACTTTCAGAGTTTATTAGTCTGAGCATTCTTCCCCCTGGTGCTCTGAAGTTCTGTTGGGTAACAGCTGCCACAGTTCTCAGGAGCAAGTGGTACATATTCCCAGCTCATGGTTTCAGTCCCTTAGTCCCAAATACTGTTTTTCTCTGTGCAATATACCTGAACCACTGCATGGATCAGAATTTTCTTTTTGCTTTGGACAATGGAGGTGATCACAGTCAGGAGAACCATCAGTGTTCAACTTTGCACTTGCAGCAACCAGGGCTTGCTTACAGAAACTGCTATTAGACACTGGCAGGAGTAACAGCCATTCTATTCCAAGTCAAATATGATTGGTCAAGTCCAGAGCGCCTTTAAAAGTGTGCATTTGTGAAGGTGCAGGCGTTTCTCAGTACTGAAACTGAGCCTTGTAGAACCACTATAGGTTTAGGAAGGTCCTAGTTTCTTTTTTTCTTTTTTTAGTTAACCACCCCCCACCCCCCCACAAAGCCTAAATTCTTAAATAGCCATTTCGCCCTAGGCCTTCATTACGCAGTTACAGGACCACAAAAATGCATCCCTCCCACCCCCATAGCCTGCCTGAGGGCTACCAAGAAGGTTGCACCAGGGAGACAGTTGCTGCAGCTAAAAAACGCAAAGGGAGTTGAGATACATGAATTACAATAACAAGGGGACATAAGCACATTGAGAAAACTGTATTTAGCATTTTGTTCATTTATTTACTTAAACAAACAACTCCCCCTTTTTTCTGAAATCTGCGCCCATCTCTGGCAATAGGAAACCTGATTCTGTGGCCAGGCACCCACCATCTCTTTGGAGTCTAGCCATTGCCCATCCCATTACCGGCCTTCTAAAAGGGCAACAAAAAGGACTGTCACTAGCATCTGCTGGGGAGTCACTCCCCAGCCCAGCTGAATGCACAGCATACCCTCCAGGGGCCTTGGCTGTAACTACGGTTCGCAGCACCAGATGAACTTCCACTGCTATGCACATCCCCTAGGCAACCCTTTCCTCCGGATCCATACAAGCCTGAGACTTCCTAGCAGAGGGTGTTAGCAAATATCGGGCTGCTGACAGAAACTACTTTGGGACCTATGGAAGGGAAAGAGGCCATCCAGGCAGATTGGCCTTCCTGCCATGAAAGAAGACTGCAATTAAGAGTCAAAAGCAATCAAGAAAAGGCTTCTCTGTATCAGACCCAACCAGCAAAAATTAACATGACAGCTGCCAGTGTACTTTTTTAGAAAGTATAAAAAGCATAAGGTCTGAGTTTGCTGGTTTCTAAATGTCCCAGCAGGCACTGTAGTTCTCTTGGGCGAGTCTACTGCTCTAGTTTCCAGAGGGGTGCTAGGCTGGTGCAATAAAAACAAAACCTCTCTGCTGGCCCTATTAAAGACTAATGCACTGATTTGTGCAGGTTTCTTTGGATGAGATCCCATTTTTTATTCCTTTTCTATGAATTAGGGTGGAGGAGGGTTAGTTAGGTGTGCACCAACTGACTGGGCAGGAGTAAGTTCCAGATGTAAAGCTGCTTTGAAAAGCAAAGATCATTCTCCCCCAGCCTCCGCATTAAATACCTGACCCTTGCATCACAGACTGAAAGACTGAACAGATAATACCGTATTTTCAGAAGTCTTGCCAGATGCATTCCTCCAGCTGCACAGCAGACTCTTGCACCATGCAGCCTTCAACTTAAGAGCATCCACTCTGCAGCATGCTTTTTCTGACAAGGACCTTTGTCAGCCAGCAAAATAGGTGCTGCCCGCTGTCAGAACCTTTCAAGGATTTCTGAAACAGAGGCACAATCACACCTGACAACTAGGTCACACCACCTCCTTCCCCCCATAGCGAATTGTGGTAGCCCTACATGGCTTTGCTGTGGTCATCCAAGGAGTCACAGCATGATCAGACCCACAAAGAGACCTGGCCAGTTGCTGGTCTTCCCTTTGAAGATACATCAGGTGCAGATAGTGGTCTCACCTGGGCACTCAACCTTTAATATTCAAAGCTAACCTTTCTGAAGAAACAGTCATTGCAGAAAGAGAAGTGCCATGGGGCGACTCTGCTCTTGAAAGGCTTCTTAGCATGTACATGCTTTTAGGGCATCAGAGTTCCCTCTGCTGGCTGATACTTGCAAAACAAATCCACGAAGTGCTATGGGTCCAGCAATAATGCAGGAGAAAGACAAGTAGAGTTTTTTCAGGAAGATTTCAAATATTATGCACAAAAATTCTAGGCCACTCTTTTTATAGCAGACACAATAGGACATAAGAAGACAACAGGGTAACTCCTAATTTAGTGTGTGTGGAATTCAAGCATCTCTGCAAACCACGTTTATGTCAAAACAACACATGTGCAGTGATGCCATAATGCAACTTCCATCCTTACGTATTTGCAATCTGATGTTGAATGCAGTTATTGAACTCACATTTTTATGTATCATGATATCATGACACATAAGCCTATTTCTCTATGCAAGTTTTCCCCCAGTCATAGAGAACCTGGGTTCGCACGTCACACAAAGACAAGCTCTGCCGAAACATGGATTGTTGAAGAAGCCACAATTGGCTTCATTCATACCTCACACTAAGCTGTAAGCAACAGTTTACAAGCCATGATGGCTGGCACCACACATCATCATCACACCAAGCCAAAAGCAAACAAACCACATTAGGGCTTAGGGTGATAAGTAAACTCAAGCCATTTAATGATAGCCACTCTCCATTTTAAAGACAATGCTGACTATGCAAAGGAGAAATGAGACAAAGAAACCTTATTCAAGGTTTTGTTGAAAACTCTTTCCTCAGGAGCTCAAGCCAGTGCACATACACTCCCTCTTCCTATTTTTGCCCACAGCAATCTTATAAGGTAGGTTGGGCTAAAAGAGCAAATTGAATTGGCTCAATGTCACCCAGTGATCTCCTGTGTCTGAGGATGGACTTGAACCTGGGTCTATTCCAAAACAATATGATAATGTGAAGCACACTTTGCATGGTGGCTCAAATATTTCCAGATAAAAATGAAGTCAACAGTCAAAACAAAAACCAAATAATTCTTGAGCTCAAGTATCAAAGCTATAATTGCTAAGAAAATTTTTTTAAAAACAGCAATACCAGTGAAGAAAATCAGCACTGCAATTTTAACTTTGTCCTGCACCATAAGATAGCTTTAAAGCATTTAACAGAATGATATCTCAGATTATAGGAAAGAAAAAATAAATATAAAAATAACCATAATTTAGGTGCAGTGTATGTAAGATATCCTGAATGTTTAGCATTTGTGCCCCCAGTGTTTCTTTTTTTATTTCTAATGCAATTTTTTTTTTCAACATTATTCTGAGATCAATTAATTCTGGGTCCCCTTGATGTCAAGATGATAGTATATGCAACAAATTATTCAAGGAGACTATCTGCTCAAAAGGCATAAGGGAATTTCATTTGGACCATTTGACTATTAAGAATACGTAATATCCAAAGCACATAGAGCCAATTAAGTTTGACATTTGACAATTTCTGTTGTATCTGGTTTTGAAAATTGCTTTTCAATGAAAAAGTCTACACAATCCTTTTCTCCTCCACTCTTTGAACTGAGCTATTTTCCCCTTGCACAAAGGAAAGCTGATCATTTGCTAGAACATGTGTATTTCAAGATTCAGCTTCTTTCTTAAAAAGTGGGGGAAGCTCATTACGTAGAGATGAAAGTGCAAGTGTGGGGGAATAGCTACTATGTTAACTATTATGTTAAACCATGGATGCTCACGGAGTGACTTTGGGCCAGTCAGTCTCTTAGCCCAATCTAAGTCACAGGACTATCGTTGTGGGCATAGAATGATATCCCCTTGTTAGTTATCTTGAGCTCGAGGAAAAAATGGGTTATAAATATTAAAAATAAGTAGATGAAGTGGTCGTGTACAAGCTGAAAACTACCAGTTACCAATTCCATTTCTACTAATCTCTTCCGTATTTCCCCTACTCATTCTTCATAGCGGCCATGCAGCAGCAGAGAATTAAAGCATCCCCAAAAGAGGAAGTGGTGGAAGCAGAAGACAACCATAAACTCAAACAGAAATTACTTTGAAATCTTCCAAATATTGCCTTTCTTCACCTGCGTATTACTTTAACCAATAAGGACTATTTCATACCAGTTGTTCATAGAACTGCAAGAGCTTCATTAGTTTACAATTTAACCCATTCCGTGTCCCTCACGTTAAATAAATCTAACAGCTAACATTTCTAACCTACCCTTTATACAGAGGATAGACCCAGAGAGAAATCTCCTGCTGCTTTGGTTAAACAGGCAGTCCTAGTTGCACAGTCCCTAAAACAAGAACATCTGTGGGCGTCAGTCCTAATGCTCTGCACAGGCTAATGGATGCATTTGGAAGCAATTTAAAACTCCTGCTACCTTGGACTCAAATTGCATTAAAGGCAGCCTGAGTCACTCACTCCCAGCACAAGCTCCTTTACCTCCCACTGCTTCTCCACCACCACACAGATTTGGTCAGACATGAATGAATGAATGAAGCTTCTTATAGAAGGCTGAATTAGATCACTGAGGCATCTGGTCCACTATCTGTATCTGTGGTGCTGGCAGCTGCTCCAAAAATTCCACCAAGGGATTTCTCTCTGCCCTGCTCGCTCCCTGGCTGGAACCTTTCCAAACACTAGGAATATGAGTCGCATTCAAAGGTGCCTTAATTCCCTTTAACAACAAACTCACCAGGTGAACCTTGACAAGACGGAGCCAAAACAAGCCCCCAAGAAACAAGAGTAAGGGATCAACACGTTCCATGAAACCCTGGACTCTACCCCAAGATAACTTTGTTTTTAAATCTTATGTGGGCAAAATCCTCCAAACAACCTATGAGTTTTGGATGATATTTAGAAATCAGCAAGAGAATGAGATAAGAAAGGAGAACCTGGGTTGGAGGACAGAATAGAGCAGAGCATCCTGGAAGAAGGCATGGCTGGCTGATTCTATGCAGAATGGGTGGAAAGTACAACACTTCAGCCCCTTTGTTTGCAGCCCCAGAAACCCTAAAAATACTTATTTCTTCCCCACCCTCCAAACACTCCCCACAACCCAGCAGGAAGAAAAATCTCCATGTCAAGGTGCCTGGAGTTCCACAAAGGAGTTGGACAAATACTGCAATGTAGTCTTGCTGGTCCCACTGTGTGCTGCAGGCTGGCCCCTCCCCAGTACAGTTGAAGCTCCAATTCAGGGTTGGAATTGGAACGCTTGAGGGCTGCCGTCATCCCTAATCTTGGACAAATCAGCTGTTCACTGTTGGCAAGGCAGACCTCAAACCCTAAATGGTCCAGGCCACGGGAAAATAGCTCAATCCAAGTTAAAATAAGTTGCAAAATAAGCTTTAAATGGGTAGGGAAATAAGGCAATGCTCCTGCTGAGCTGGCCAACAAAAACACAGAGAGAGCGAGCTCAGAATCCATAAGCTGCATCTCCCAGGTCTGTATCAGACAGAAGCTCAGTAAGGAAGGTCCCACTGATCAAGTTGGTGTAATATAAACATTTGCAATACTTACTGGGAAAGGAGGGCTGCAGAAGGAAGAGAGGAGAACAACAGCCATGGAGAAGGTCAACCATATCACTTGAATCACAATACCTCTATCGCATGCTCTCAATTGTTTTTGAACCTTTGAAATTTCATTAAATGGCACTGAAGCACTTTCCAGCTAATGTCCAGAGTCATCATGATGAAAAGACTATACTGGAAGTTTACATAGTACAACATTCTGAAGCAGAACTCAGCTTTGCATACATACAACTCTCTCTGCAACATCTTGTGCATGAAAAGTCAAGTCTCAGAAAGGCAGTCACATAATCCTACTTGTCCTCTTATAGTAGAAGAATTGGGGCCTGATATAACCTTTTTTTTTTTTTAATCTGTTCAATTGTGTCTGATTCTCAGAGACTGCCCGGACAAGTCCCTGCAGTTTTCTTGGCAAGGTTTTTCAGAAGTGGTTTGCCCTTGCCGCCTTCCTAGGGCTGAGAGAGAGTGACTGGTGCAAGGTCACCCAGCTGCCTTTGTGCCTAGGGAGGACTAGAACTCACCGTCTCCCATTTTCTAGCCTGCTGCCTTACCCACTGCACCAAACTGGCTCATAATCCTGCCCCCCCAAATTAATTTAACTGGCAGCTCCCCACCCACCTGCATTATAAGCACTTACGATATAAAAGGACTGACTCTAAGCATTAAAAAAGTGGGGAAAAATTCTCAGACCAGTAACTTTATCATCAGTAAACAATAATGAATGACAGGCATCTAAAGTAGTTTCAGCAATTTAAAATCCCATGGGATGCTTTTTAATCCCACTGCATATAAAATAAAATTCCACTCTGAATTTAAAAACAAAAAACAAAACCTAGCACTGAGCCCTAGCCTCCATTCAAATCTCCAGTAAGAACAAGGGAAGATGTTCAAAGGCGCACATGCACGCAAACATGCATGTGCACATGCGTGCACACACACACACACACACACACACAGAGAAACCACCAGATTTTGTAGGGCAAAATATTAAAGTCACAATTCCTGGTAATAATCCAATTTGCTGCTCTGCAGTCTCTTTTAATGGAACGCAAATGCTGAGCTGGCAGCAATAAAAATATCTTCCAAATGGGGTTGCTTCAAGGCTGCCTTTATATTAAGCAACAATAACAATAAAAAATCCTTGTGGCTTTTCCACTCCCAAGGTAACGTTTCCCCATAGCTTCAACTCATTTGTGTGGCAAAAGACATTAGGATCTCACAAAACAGAAAGTCCAAGTCCATACAGTGGGTTTTTTTCCCCTTTTTTAATCATTTCTTCCATTTCAGCTTTGGGGTTTTTTTCTTAAATTTCTTCTCCTGTCTTGATCCTACGGTGGCTTCGGATTTTCTCTTCTTGTCACTGAGGTAGAATATAACACACAGGCCATAAGGTAAACACGCAGTCCCCTGGGTCCCAAGTCTCCCTGAAGCTAACTTTAAAAAACAAGTCAAGATGGTAGCTTAGTGTCCAAGATTCCCAGTCTAAAAAATGCTAGAAGGAGCCTGTGCCAAGAGCTTCTCTCTGCTGATGAGGAAGCATCTACATCTCTTCCAAAAGCCAAGATCTGGCCAACAGTAAGACAGTTTTGCTAATTCCTTACTTTCCTAGAATTGGAAAGAGACGCTAGTTGGATGATAAGCCTCTGAGATGTGTGCACCCCAACACTAACCTTTTCAGGCTGACCACAGATGCATTCTGTCCTGCTTTACTCAGCACTTCGTTCCATTCTTCATCATCCCCTCGGATGACGTATCTAAGTGAGAAGCAAAAGCACTTTGAACACAAGGCAACCTGGTCAGAAAACAGTAATTTCTGCTATAGAGCAACAAGTCAGAATTCTGTGCAGGCATCCTATCTAGCAACCAAGAGCAGGATCCAACCAACCCAGCTGAAAAGTGAGATTCCTAGGTGCAAAACTGCACCTGCATTTTAAAAGAGCACGATTTATTTAGCATTGGTTGAAATGTTTATGTTGATAAAAATGAAATCAGCCCACCAATCCTATACCAGTCCCCAAAATTAGGGAAAGGCAGTCATACTTAACACGTAATCGTTATTAAAGGAAGGAGGGGCAGAAGTCAGGCATAAAAGGGAAAAGGAAAAAATGCACAAATCCAGTGTGTGCTCTTTGTCCCTTACCACAATTAATACCCAAGGGACCTACTTTTTACATTATAAAATAATAATATGCATCTGATCTGGCCAAACACCAAACATTTCAGAGAGATTCTATGGCTCATTGAAGCCAAACAAATACCATTCAAAGCAAACCAAACTGAATGTTGACCTTCCTGAAGCCTCAGGAGAAGTTTGGTGCTTTGGAAGGCTACATAAAGGCAGATTTTGTCTTCCTCTTTACTGATACAGAAAATATCAGGGAGGGATTCTATGTTTTACCACGGAACAATTTACTGGGGGAATTGTAATGTCAATGCTTTGACCAAATAGCTTAAATCATTCAACTTTCCTAGACAATATATTTATTTGTTATGGGGGTAGGGGTGGGAGAAAGAACAAAAGATTTTACTGTGAAAGGTCCAGGTCTTTCAGCTTCCCAATATCATTCTTATGTTTCTCCTGAAATTCTTTGGCTGCTTCTTCCTGCATCAGAAAGTCCACATTATAAATAACAGGCATTGTATATGGTTATTTCAAATGAATGCATATAGGTCAGCTCTTAAACCAAGGACAAAAGCTAATTTATTATCTATGTTAACTCTAAAGAGCCTGCTGTTTCTTAATGCATCTCACATGAGATAGCACACCTATACATTCTAAGTAGGAAGCAGAATTCCCAGGAAGATTGGCCCTTCAACATATCCTGATATCATGCATTCTACACATTTGGTCAGCTGGAAATGTATAAACATTACAGAAATCATCCAAGTTATTGAAATGCTTCCAGTAGAAGATAATATAAACATTTCCATGTAAGCAAAACAGTGGTCCAGCATCTGTCTTCAGGAGTGACCTGCCAGACACTTCTCAGTGCTCATAAGCTGGACTTGAGGGCAGCAGTGTTATTTGCTCAACTTCTAGTACTCATAGCCAAACTGTCTTTGTATATGGTGATTCCATTATATGTCAAGCACATAGCAAAAAAATCATGAGGAAAGGAAACTGTCAAGACTTAGCACCAGCAACTGAAAAGCTTATTATAGAGCTAGTTTGGTCTAGTGGTGAAGGCACCAGGCTAGAAACCAGGAGATGGTGAGTTCTAGTCCCGCCTTAGGCGTGAAAGCCGGCTGGATGACTTTGGGCCAGTCACTGTCTCTCAGCATAACTCACCTCATAGGGTTGTTGTTCTGGGGAAAATAGAAGGAGGAAGGAGAATTAGGTATGTTCACCACTTGGAGTTATTTATAAAAAATAATAAAGGCAGGATAAAAAAATCTAAAAAAAAAGTTTATATAAAGATAATTACCAAATCTTCATTTAAAGATTTCAGGGTTGGTTCCATTACAACTTCTTTCATTACTGCCATTTGCTCTTCTACAGCCTTCTCCTGGATACTGTTGAACAACTAAGGAGCAAACAAGGGTGGAAATGATCACCTTCCTCCCCAAGAATATTTCCATAAAGACATCATCACCCTCAAAATATCATTCCTATATATTTCCTAATTTATCTCCAGCGAATTTCTATGAATCACTACTGGTATAGAAAGCACAATACATACTACAAACATACTGAAGGCATTTCTCTACAAAGAATCTGTAACAGAACACTAAAGTATTGTGTTTTGGATTATGATGAATCTTGTTAAGTGCAGCCCCCAAATGACATTTACCTGAACAACTTTGCGGATGGTCCTATTGAAGAGGCCCATTAGCTGGCTACTAGGCAGTCCTATCTCTTTCTCCAGCTGGTCCACAGATTTGTGCTGGAGACCAATTCCAAGAAGAAGAGCCTGACAAACGAAAAGATTCCTTTGTTTTGATGCAGCAGAACAACAGGCTTGATCTTGGGCAAGTATGATCTTATAGCAATGTCTCATCTAGCCATTTTCTGTACTAGCAAAACTTAAACTTTGGTAAGCATAACTCAGGCCAGTTGCAAAAGACTACAACACATGAATTGCATACATAGCAAGTACACTTCACTAAACCACCACAGATCTGGTTAACCTTCTTTTTAATTATGAAGTGTGAACATTTCTCTGTGCCACACAATGTATAGCTCATGTTCTCTTCTCCGCATCTCTGTCTTTCCCATAAATCCTTTTTTCTGGTGTTCCATATTTGCTATTTCCTATTCGTGTCTCCCTGTCAGGTTCAGCCCAAGAACAACAATGATGCAATCCAGTCCAGTCCAGTTCCTTTATTAGCTCACACCTAATAGACAGAATCTCGCCAGACTAAACCTGTGGTAAAGCAACTAGTGGATATACCCCGTGAGACTCTAGGGAGGGGCTAGCCACATCCTCTTCCTCTTCCCACGCTCTTGCTGTGGACTGAGAAAGCACTTGCTCTGGAATGTTCCCCCTCCCTCCTGATAACCTTAATCCTCCATTCCTGTATCTTCCTCGCTCAAGCCTTCCATTACACTCCGCAGCCCAGGTCAGTTCTTCCTTTTCTTCCTGCTCTGTTTGAGCCCCAAAATTCATCTACTCGTACTTCTACTTCAAACACCAGATAAGCTATGTATCATAATAATTTGGATCTACACTGAAGTGGCAGCTCCAGTTCTTGATGGTAGCTAATAACTACAGTATCTACATTCAATTTCTTTAGTAAAAGGTTCCTACTATTTCCTTCACAGCTACAGAGATTTCACCATTCCATGAGACCACAACTAAGTACGGCTGATGCCCCCACCTCATGGTAGAGTTGAAGCCCCAGCAAAGAGCGCTAACCAAGGCCTGCGTAGGGGGCAATGTGGTGAAGGGAAAACACCTGCCTTATCAAGAGCAAGCATCAACAGCAAGGGACTGGGTATTTTCAGACTCACTGCTTGTTGATCTTAGAGGCTGCAATAATGAGGGAAGAAGTAGAAGTGGCAGGTTGGAGGTGGATGCATTCTGATGGCAGAGAGAAAGCTAAAGCAAAAGAAACTACTGCTGGACTTCTCTATTCAAGGCTGTAAAACTCTCCCCACCCTTCAATGAGGCCTGGCCTTGAACCAGCTCACTTTCTAGATCAGTGTTTCTCCGCCTTGGCAACTTTAAGATGTGTGGACTTCAACTCCCAGAATTCTGGGAGTTGAA